TCAGCCCAAAATTTCAGCTGCCAAGGATGGAGACAGCTGTTAAGTGAGTTTTGTCCCATTTTACGACCTTTCTGGACACAGTTATTAAGTGAATCCCTGCAGTTGTTAAAGTTCATTTAACAGCCGTGTTACTAATTTAACAACTGCAGGAATTCCCCTTAACAATGGTGGCCAGAAAAGTCGTAAAATGGGGCAAAACTCAAGTGGTGGCCAGAAAAGTCGTAAAATGGGGCAAACCCCAAATTTCTCGCTTAGTGACCTAAATTCTGGGCTCAGGACCACCTGTGGTTTTGATGCTGTCTGATCCTCCTTGTTTTGGAACAGAAATCCTCTGATAGGGTGACAAGCCAATTGCTTGAGGGCTTCATGAGAAATCTATCTTATTTTATTTAATTTATTTATTTATTTTTATTATTTTATTATTGTATTGTACTGTATTCCAGCTTTGATGAAGTTTTCTATGGCCAGTTCCTCTCCTTGTACATGAAGCGGATCTTCTTCGTAGATGACAGCCGGACCCCGTTCGGCCACATGCTTTTCGCTTTGGGAGGTATGCACATTTTCAAAGAATTCATCCTGTGTTGCACGAATAAATTAAGGCATCTCTCTCCACTCCATATTGTCGGGAATTTGAATATTAGCAAACTGACTGAAACTTTGCAAATAAAGAAGGGGAAAAATGAAAGGCAGCTAGTTGCCTTTGGGCCAATCACCAGGAGACGGTGAGTTCTAGTCCTGCCTTAGGCACGCAAGCAAACTAGGTGTCTTTGGACCAATCCTTCTCTTCGGCCAACCCACCTTGCAGGATTGTTGTTGTGGGGAAAATAAGAGGAGGATGGAGTATTAAATACGTTCACCGCCTTGAGCTATTTCTAAAAACAATAAAGGCAGGATGCAAATCAATACATAAAATTTAAAAATGAAAATAAAACTTTTAGTTTATTCTCTTTTGAAAGGGGAAGGTGTGTTTTCCCCCTTCCTTTCCCAACCATGGAGCAATACTGCCATCCTGTGGCCAAAGAAAAGTGGTGCAGGGCACTTCTTTTTCCTTTCCTTTTTCTTAGCTTTTTCATCCACTCAGGGATTTTTCAGAGTGGTTCTCATTTATTTTGCAATGACTTCTTTTATTACACTTGGGAGCAGCCCAACTCCCAACGACTGGGTGCTTTACAAAAGAGAAAAATAAAAGGGGAAAGAATGTGTACAGCAGGGCAAAACACTTACTGCAGTGCACACCAAAGCTCCCTGTGGCTCAACTACCTGCCTGACATTCACATGTGCTAACTGTGGCAATGATGAGACCTCTCGGCGTCCTGAGGTCGAAGCCTCCAGAAAGGCCCAGCTTTTCCCCCCCTTCCCCCCAGCTCTGCCCCCCCCTGCGCCCCTTTCTCCCCGGGGAGCCTGGCCCAAGACCCTCGGCCTTGGGGGGCTCTCCGTGCTTCCTACGCCCCCCCAAAGGCTGGAGGAATGCAGATCAGGCCCATGAAATGGAGACCGAGAATTCTTCCGGCCGGTTCTGCTTTGCTCAACCTGCATCGTAAATACTGTGCCCGGTTTGGGCCCCTCAGATTCTGTGCAGGAGAGTCAGAGAATTAAAGAGCATTGAGAGTTCCTTGCATAATGCATTGGGTGTAAATTTTGATTTATGACTAACATTCTTCAAAATAAAACAAAATGGCATAAAAATCATTGCATGTATTCTTTGTAGATTTTAAACCTACATTTGAGAGAAATCTTGATGAACATGGAGAATACAGTACAAAGGGATGTTGCTTTTTCTCATTCAGCATTCGTATGAAATGTGCTAAAAACCTGGTACCTGCTCAGAAAAGTCTCCCAGGGCTTTAGACCTCCACCCTCTTCAAGTAGCACCTCTGCTCCACGACAGCTCATCTGACTAGTCTCTAATTAGACCTGCCTGAGTCCATGGAGCCAGATACAGTTCTCCTCCTATATGCTGAGGATATGGCTAGTATCTCACATCACTTTGTTGGCCTTAGAGAGTCTCCTGTTTCTGCTAAAAAGCTTTAAAGGCAAGGAGACCAGTTGGAGCATCCAATTTAGTTTCAGTTATCTGGGGATGGTCTTACATGGGGCTGACATTTGGAAAACTCTTATAGATTATATCAAAGAATGAGATCGTGGAGCTCTTACACAGCCACAACAATGAGGGCCAAATTAGCCCCAGATTCAGCCACGCAAACTTGTTCCAATTAGGCACTGAGTGGGAAGATCATTTCAAGGCAATTTATTAGAGGTTTCCCTTATTGAAAAGAGGGATTCCAGGACATAGAATCGGGTTTCATTTTATACTCCATGCACAGAAAAAGTACAAAAGAGTTGACTGGATGGAAGAAATCATCCTGCTCAGTTACATCAAACATGAAACAACCCATAATATTAAGCACAACCATTGAAATGAAAGGAGAACGTTTTTACCGGGGAAATGTGATGAGTCACATAAACCTGTTATGAAAAGGTAAAATTTCAATCAGTTCTAATATCTAGCATATATAATTGAAAAAGTCCATTGTTCACGCAATAAATCTGGACCAATGGCACCAAACTTGGGAACGTAACAATAAAATTACATTGGCGACATCTTACAAAGAAAATCTTTATAAGATGCTTTATAGATGGCATCTGCCACCGGCCAGACTCGCAAAAATGTATAGCGGTTACCAATTTGTTGGAAGTGTAAAAAGGAAAAGGGTACATTCTTCCAGGAGCAAAGCCTCCCCTTGAAAGAGTTATGGAATATTTCTCAGATGAGCCACGCAAATCTAAGGGGCGATGCCGCTAGGGAGGGGAGGGGTCTGAAGCTCTCTTGGGGGCAAAATGGAAGCGATCGGCCACCGCTGCCTTTCCAATTCCAGTCCCTGGCATGCTCCAGGTGCTAAAGAGGCTGGACTTCAATTAACCTTTTCCCAGATCGGCCATTAGTCCATTGAGCAGGCAAACCATTGATGGGCTGGATGCCAAAACAAAGCAAGATACGCTTGAAAGGAGACCGGGAAGCCTGTAATTGTGGAGTTTGTCTGGCAAGAACAAAGAATGCTTATTCACAGGGAGCATGCACCTAAAAAGCCTGTAACAATTCTGTGTGGTCAAAAAGCTGATAAAAGTAACAAAAGACTTAGGCATCTTGCAAGCTCAGCTAAGGGTTAGGAATAGGGATGGCCTGGAGCAAATAGGATGTGTATTAGGTAACTCTTCAAGCATTCATTAGCCAAGCCTGCTAGAGACCAATAGAATAATCATTAGATTATTATTGAAATGTTTATTAGATTATATTTCTGATATATCCCACCTTATCCTGCCTTCTGCTTTAGAGAAAATGTATAAACCTTTATTAATTCTGTGGTTCGAATGGTCAGGATCCCTTTTCTTGGAGCGCTTCATAAAAGACAACAAAACCAGCACCTCTGTCTGCTGTTCTTCATCGGCCTCAGCACCAGGCTCAGACCCGAATCGGGGACAACAGAATCCTCAGGGTCAATCCCAAACACCTTCAAGGCATTTTCTGGGCTGCAACAGATGGGGCTGGTTCTTTTTTAAACTTTCCAGTGCTAGGCAGCCTCTCTTGCGTTTCCTGGTGGTCCCCCATCCAAGCCTAAACAAGCTTTCCTTCCCAAGTCAGCCAAGGCTGTCCAGGTACAGATTGAAAGTCACCCGCCTGGAGAAGGTTCCCTGGTGGACGCTGCTCAGGTGGGTCCCTGCAATAAGCCTCAATGGCAAGGGAAGCCCTCCCATTTGCACGGCGTGCTCAGTTTGGCTGGACTTATGCCGGGTTAAATTGGCATGCACCAAGCCTGTTGAACCACGCCAGGGGTCTGAATGTGCAAAGCCAGAAGTGGGAAGCAGGTTGTGTGAACAGGGCCTAGGGTACCGCTGCATCTTCCTTTAGGTTGTTCTAGGCCAGAGGTGGGGAATGATGGCCCTTTTATGACTTGTGGACTTCAACTCCCAGAATGCAACTCCATGAGCCAACATGGACACTATTTGGATGGCTCAGGATTTCTGGGAGTTGAAGTCCACAAGTCATGAAAGGGCCATCGATATAATTTAGGCGATCGCCCAGTTCGTTCCTTCCCTTTTCCCGCCTATCGCCTGCAGAGGGTGCCAGCAGCCTCGCTCTGTTCTGCCAGCTGCAAAGAATGCGACAGCCAGCTCAGTTACTTTTGCTTCTGCCAGCTGCAAAGATGGTGCCCACAGCTTCCAGCGCTTCTGCCCGGCACAAACATGGCACCCTCCAGCTCTTCTCCTCGGTTTTTCCCCCACCCAGAGGTGCGATCCATCCCGTGTGAATGCAACGTACACGTGAGCAGCAACCGATATTGCGTCGCGGCCTTTGCGGGTCCTCCTTCCGCTGCTGCCTCGTACAGGGCTCGAGGGCGCTGAGATGCGATCTGGGACGATAAAGGCCGAGCCACTTGCATTGCCCCCCCAGGGCATCCCTCCAGCTCCGGACCCCACGACCCCGGGGCCCCTCCTCACACCTGCCCAGGAACCAGCAACGAGGGGCGCTTTGAAGGAGCCCACTGCTGTCTTTAACGGCAGGGAAAAGCCACGGCTTTTCCCGGCCCCTTAAAGTACATCCGAGCAGCAACTCCACTACCTGCCAGCAGGAGCAGCAAAGGACTGGTCTTGGCGCCACCTGTCGGCCCTCGGGAGCCCTGCAGCCCGGTTTCCTTTGGAGGGCAGCTCTTCCCCCCAAGGAGGTGAGGCACTGGCTGGCCCTAGATTGGGGCTCAGAGGCTGAATGGCAAGAAAGTGGCCAGCTTATAGTTCAGCAACATCTTGTTTCCGTTCACACAACACAA